ACGCCTGGTACATGTGCATGCATGCCTCAAATCCCAAGAGGAGAATAGAGGAGAAGGGATTGCAGTGTGGCCATCACCCTGAGGGGGGATTTCTGACCTTCTATTTCTTTGTCTCTCTGGCAAGTGACATGCCCTATAGCAAAAGGAAGTCACTCTCTAAAAAAATAAATAAAAGTAAAAATAAATTTTACTAGGTAATATTATGACTTGCATATTGTTGAACTGATAAAATGGGGAGATACCAGACTTTATACCATAGTTACCTATGTGAATAAATTAAAATGTTACGTATAGGACAAGCAGATGGCATAGTGGTTATGCCACTGAACTGTCATATAGTTGACCGCTATTCAAGTCCTAGACCCAGAGACTTAAAACTCATGCCGGGTGCACATGGGCATACATGCCCAAGATCCAGAGAGGAGAGTGGAAGAGAAAGGATTGCAGCATGGATTGCCCTGCGGGATGGTTTCTTGCTTTCTGTCTCTGTCTCTCTGGCAAGCGCAAGTGCCCCACAGTAAAAATCTCTCTCAGAAAAGTTTCTTATAAAGAATAAATATTAATGAGATATGGAATGTGTCAGAGAAAGTATTTTATTTGAGCTATATTTTGGGACATCACCACTTACAGCAGTAGGCAGATGACTTTACGATGACAGCAGCACTGCAGAGGGATAGGGAAGGAGCTCTAGTGGGCATGGAACTTTCCTCTTTTCTGTAGAAAACTACATGTATGGGGACCAGTGGATGGTTGCATCACTTGACTCCCACATGACTGACCGTGGTTTGAGTCCCGGACCCAGAGGATTGAAGCACACATAGCACTTGTCCCTGCCTGCTCAGGATCCTGACGGGAGAATTTAGGAAAAGGGATGGAGGCGTGACCATCTTCCCTGGGAGTGATTTCTCACTTTCTGTCTGTCTCTTGATGAGCACACACACCCTATAGCAAAAAGCTCTCTAAAAACAAAAAAAGAAAACTGCATATAAAAAGCTCTCTTAAAAAAAAAAAAGGAAACTACATATATGTAGACAAACACTACATGCACTTGAGTCAGAAAAGCAATCATCCTACATCAACTCTTCTTAGAGTTATGGAAACCCTTCTGAAGTGTCATTGTTAGAAGGTGTACACTCACAGAAACCAATGACATTTTATTTGATTTCAAGTAGCTTTAACTGGTTTTATGCATTATCTTCTATGGAGGCCACCATTTTGATGCTATCTTGAGGAACTGTGGCAAAACAACTTCTAGGATAGCTTATTTAACTCATAAAAGCTATCAACTTATAAACTGTCTTTTTCAAAATAATCACAGCTTGTAATTTGACCATATGTGTGTATAACCTTCCCTTAGGGAAGCTGAAGTTTTTCCATATGTTGGCTTTTCTCAGAAAGAAACATTTTGTGGGTTCAGATTAGGGAGGTAATATTACGTAGCAAGTGGTAATTCTGGGACTCAAAAGTGAGAAGGCAGCTTGTCAGCAAGCAGGGTGTAGTGGATGGCTAATGGCAGGTGTGCACGTGTACGAAAATGAATGGAATCTTCAAGGAAAAAGTCGCATTAGCAGTCTGGGAGAAGGAGGGGCGTGGAGTAAGAATCCCAGCCTCTACCTACCTTTCACCTTGTTTCTTAGCTAATAAAGAGCCTCAGTGAACTTCTGTGACCCAGAATACACTCACTCTCAGCCCAGACATTGTCCAGGAGAGCACTGGGCATTAAGATCAGGGAGGCCTCCACTTAGGGAATCTGACTTCAAACTCCAGCTGTAGACAAGGTCAGTATCCTTTCCCCCTCCCTGGGGCTTCCCTCCAGAAACCTGCCTCCTCCCTCCTAATACAAAGACCACCTATCTAGCAAAATCCAATATGGCCACATTCTTGACCAAGTTACAAAATCTCTGTCCTGGGAAGCCAACCTAGGCAAAGAGGAGGGAAGAAGTTACTTGAGTAGGTGGATTTAGCATAAAAGCTCCCTTTCATTACTCTGTCTTCAAGTTGTAACTGAGAAATGCACTACTTTTCCTAAAAGAATTTTTTAAACTTTTGCTATAAAGCCTGGGCATTCGCTGGAGAGAGACAGAGACAGAGGGAAAGTGAGAAATCATGGGGGTTGGGGGGGGGTGGCCACATCGCAATCCATTTTCCTCCACCTCCATTCTCCTCTGGGAATTTGTGGGCACACACCTGGGCATGATTTTTAAGCCACTGGTATGGGGCTTCCACCCTCTTTTCTATGTAAAGTCCAGCGCCTTAGCCACTACGCCACCTGCTGGCCCTTCCTAAAAGAATTGTAAACATTACCAATGTTTCATCGAAGAATTTTGCCATCCTCATAAAGGCGGCATTTTAGATGTAAAAATTAATTAGCATCCAATCGTAAGGATCCCAATATTCAAATATCAATTTACATTATTGGCCGTTTTTCAAGAGATCCACAACCCTGGTTTATAGGTGAATCCAAGAAAACTTTTTACAGACGTTCCTTGTCGTGTATTCATTCGTCTTAGTGGTCAGTGGGCCTCACCACTCTGGTTGGTTTTGCTTCTTCACAACTCGGAAATCTTTCCCTCAACTCCATTTCCACCCCTGCCTTTGGACCCAATCCCGCGCGGGCAGGAGAGGCACACGTGCTCACAGGGCTCCCGGGGACCTTTGCGCACGGATCCTTTAGCAAGTGCGTGCGTGCATGTGCATGGGTAGGCAAAAACTCACCTCTTCCCGTCCAGCTGGCCACCCGCTGCTTCCCTTTTCTCCAGCTTACAGCTCCTCGCAGGCCTCCAGCTCTAGTGGACTTGGCACTCCTCTGTCCTGGGCAGCCTCTCTCTCTCCCCTCCTACCTCTCTCTCTTCATTTCTTCCACTTCCTTTCCTCTCTCTCGTCAGCCTTTCTGTTCCTCCTGATTCTCATAATTCCGCCCCAAGCTCTCGCTCTCTCTCTCCGTTCCTTCCCTACTCCCACTTTTTAATAAATGGATGTGCACTCGCGGGCGTACACACTCTCACACACACGCACACCTCTGTACTCTGCTACTGTACTCCAGCATCCGGGACTCTCCATGGCCTGGAAACCCAGGAACCAAAGCTTGAGGGCAGGAGTCTTGGAGGGTGCGTCTGGGTGTCCTCTCGGGAATTCCCTCTGGACTTGGGGGTCACCTCATTATCTCTTATCCCAGCTTATTGTCAGGTGACTCCCACCCTCTACCAGCCGCTTTGCACTGGCAATGTGGGCTGGACCGAGGCGAGCACCCACACCCAGCCTCACCCACGCACTCACGTGGGCCGCCCAGCGCCGCAGCAGCAGGTGCCAGGAAGTGAATGCTGGGACAGGGGCCCGCGGCAGCTCCCCAGTCTCCTGCCATGGCCCTTTCCCGCTCCTGGGCCTTTGGAAACGACCCCAGTCTCCGCCGGGCAGCGCGGGTCTGCTGACTATCTCCCCTAGTTCTTCGGATCCCCAAATCCTCACCGCCATCATGTCCAACCGGAGCCCCAGGCTGGGCGTGCAGCCTGGGGCGGTGATCCCCTGCTGAGCGCCCTGCGGGTCGGGGACCACCTGCGCCTTGGTGAGGTCAAACACAGGGGCGGTGTGGCCTCACCAACCGATTCGGAGGTCGGGCTGGCTAGGCAGGGGGCCCCGCGGGCCGAGTCTGCAAAGACCGAGGAGGGCGGGTCGGAGCTGAGCTGGCGAGGAGGCGCCGCTGCAACGCCTGGGAGGGACTCTCCGCACTCAGGCGCGCTCCAGCCTTCAGGCGCTGCCTGGTGGTCACTTATTTCGCATTCATTTATTTTCATTTTGCAAGCTGGAGTTCTTCCGGTGCTGTTTCTCTAACTCCTTCCCTCGGACTTTAACGCGCCGCGCGCACGTTTGTGTTCAGTGAGATGGGGTGGGGGTGGTCCGTGATTGCCCGGGAGTGGTTGAAAGTACTTGAGGACCAGGAAGGTAAATTGCAAGAAGCCTGCGTTTCTGCAGGAGCGATTTGGTAGAGGCGACCTCCCCGTCTGGCCCAGGGATTAACCGAAAAACTTTTCCAGCTGCCTTCTCGGTGCGCCCCTGCAAGGTCTCCCAGACTGGGACCAAGGGAACTGTGACGCCTTCACCCCAAAGAAGAGCGGGAGCTGGGAGCTCTCCTTGTTTTAGACAGGGGGCCAAAGGGGCGCGAGACCGATCCAACCTTGAAAAAGTGAAAAGCCAAACGCCGACGGGTATTTTCCCATGACGGCCCCTCCCCCGTCCACGCCTTTTATCCGGCGCTAATATCCAGCTCCGGATTTGCCTGCTGGGTTCTCGCCCCTTCGTCCCGAGCAGGCGGAGTGACTGATCCCAGCTGGGCCCTCACCCCCCCACCCCCACGCCTCTCCCGGCTGCCG